AGGCAACAATCGTCCTTTCCACAACCCAACCAAAGGCAACAATCGTCCTTTCCACAACCCAACCAAAGGCAACAATCGTCCTTTCCACAACCCAACCAAAGGCAACAATCGTCCTTTCCACAACCCAACCAAAGGCAACAATCGTCCTTTCCACAACCCAACCAAAGGCAACAATCCTCCTTTCCACAACCCAACCAAAGGCAACAATCATCCTTTCCACAACCCAACCAAAGGCAACAATCGTCCTTTCCACAACCCAACCAGAGGCAACAATCGTCCTTTCCACAACCCAACCAGAGGCAACAATTGTCCTTTCCACAACCCAACCAAAGGCAACAATCGTCCTTTCCACAACCCAATCAGGGCAACAATTGTCCTTTCCCGAACAAGGTGTTTTATGTGATCTACCTTTTCATCCTATGCACCATTAAAGCAAATGTCTGAGCAGGCAAGTTGTTGGTCCACCACACGGCTGGACTACCAGCTCGTGATACTAAATACAAGGCCCAGCACGTAACTGGGTATGACTCTGCAGAGCCTATACAGGTTTTTGGTCAATAGGACCTCTGTTGGGTCCTTACTGAGGGGGTTTTGTAGGACTGTATATAACATCTAAGATGTATTGGGCCACCAGTTACTCACTACTGGACATGTCCACCAGATGTAATGGAAGGTACCAGTCTTGTTTTATCCCCTAAAGCATTGTGGTGATGAATTTGGCCTTACATGATGGGACCAGGTGCCTTCTAAAGATCAGTATGTAGTTTGTCTTAAGACTGTACCTATTAAGGGGGTTACATTTCTTTGAATGTTAGATTTGAGTCCAGTCTTCCACTTCCAGGGGTACGTCTAGCTCTTCCTCCCATTTGGAGGTATATGTAGGTTGTATGGTGGATCTCGGGTTTAAGGAGGAGGAGTACAAGAGGGACACCATTCCTTTTGAGTGCGGATCATTCAGACAATTGGACTCAAACGCCATGAGTGAGGGATTAAAGGCAGAGGTAAAGCTGATTGTGTGCATGATATAATGTTTCACTTGAAAGAGTTTGGAATGGGACAGTATTACTTCCTCCTGGAAGGCAGTAAAGCTTTTAATACCAGACACCTTATACAGTTTATGTAATTGAATTATACCCAGGGTAAACAAAGCTCTAAAGCTTGGAGGATGTTCTGCATCTAGACTACTCTTATTAAAGTTGGAGCTCTGAGAGTACACGACTACCCAGAGGAACACAGAAGAGTTGAAGAGGAGAGCCAGAGTCTAATAGAGGCTGATGGCTCCTGACTCCCCCCACTAGACACATTCCGTCCCCCCATTACTGTCTACTGACAGAGGAGGGGAGAGAAGAAGAGATTGTTGTAGTGACTGAACAAGGAGAATCTGGGACTCTCTTCTGGATTTAGTGTTTATTTCTCACCTGTGCTGATCTCTGGATGGATTTCCTCTTCCTTACCCGGCTCATCATCCCTCACATGCGAATCTTCTTCTTCAGGTTCTACTTTAACAACAATCAGGTCTTCACCCTAAATAAGATAAAGACTATCAGTACCATCTGTAAGCCAGCCAAAGACTGATATTTAGCTTGTGTTTAGTAACGCCCTAAATTCCATCTACCTGATAACCATGATGTTCCTGTGTGGAATCCCGGGAATACAGAGGACGTGCCTGAGGGATCTCATGGTGTTCCTGTGTGGAGTCCCGGGAATACAGAGGACGGGGACATCTCTCTGGTGGGTTCCTCTTACTGGAGCCATCTGTAGGAAACACACACACACTGACTGAATACATTGTTTCTATGTGTGTATCAGATGATGGGGGATCTAGGTGGACCCTCCGTACTGCTCTCTCCTCTTCCCCGGTGATGTGAGGGTCGGCTGATCCTCCATCATGACGTCCTTGTAGAGATCCCGGTGTCCTTCTAGATACTCCCACTCCTCCATGGAGAAATAGACAGAGACATCCTGACACCTTATAGGAACCTGACACACACAATGATAGTCACCATCCAGACACATCCCTCGTCTGTTCCTGAGTCATGTCCCAGAATTCCCGGCACCGCTCACCTCTCCTGTCAGCAGCTCGATGATCTTCTGGGTGACTTCTAGAATCTTCTTTTCAGCTATCAGGGAGGGAGGTGGAGTCACCAAGATGGGACTTTGGCTCCTGCTCCATCCACCGGACACATTGGGGTGGTTATTAAGCACCGCACTGTCTTTGGTCTCTTTCCTCAAAGGTCCATAATCCTAAACAGAAACATCAACGCATGAAACCTTCCCATAGAGGTCTGCAGGATCCTTTCATGCATTCATGTCATGTGACCTCCCTGAATCCTCCTCACCTCTCCAGTCAGGTCTGTGTTTTATTACTAGAGATAAGAGTGATGTCATGTGACCTCCCAGAATCCTCCTCACCTCTCCGGTCAGGTCTGTGTTATATTAATAGAGATAAGAGTGACGTCATGTGACCTCCCAGAATCCTCCTCACCTCTCCAGTCAGGTCTGTGTGTTATTAATAGAGATAAGAGTGACGTCATGTGACCTCCCAGAATCCTCCTCACCTCTCCCATCAGGTCTGTGTTTTATTAATAGAGATAAGAGTGACGTCATGTGACCTCCCAGAATCCTCCTCACCTCTCCGGTCAGGTCTGTGTTTTATTAATAGAGATAAGAGTGACGTCATGTGACCTCCCAGAATCCTCCTCACCTCTCCGGTCAGGTCTGTGTTTTATGAATAGAGATAAGAGTGATGTCATGTGACCTCCCAGAATCCTCCTCACCTCTCCGGTCAGGTCTGTGTTTTATGAATAGAGATAAGAGTGATGTCATGTGACCTCCCAGAATCCTCCTCACCTCTCCGGTCAGCAGGTAGATGATCTCCAGCGTGAGTCGTAATATGCTCTCGGTCTTGCTCTTCACTTCACCTCCTCTCTGCAGATTTTTAGGTGAGGACGGCGACTCATCAGGAGAAGATTTTAGAATGACCATTTTTCCCGGCACAGGGTGACTTCAGCCTGAAAATAAAACCCAATAAATAAATGAGTAAAGAAATAAATAAAATAAATCAGTACATTGAACAACATTCTGATCGCATCTCGCAATATTAAATCGTATGCAGTGGATCCCCGCTTCCTCTTTTGAGATACAAGAGATGCAGGGTGCTGTTCTGAGGTAGGGTTTATCCTATCTTCTGCAGTCAGATCGAGGAACTCACCCTTAATGGGCTTATGGTATAGGAACAATATTTACGGTATTACCACATGATTTGTTTACCGTGCGTTCATAGATACTTTATTACACAAAACCGAATCTTCATCCAACAAGGTGCGATATGATGGCCAGTACGCAAGGGAGGAGGCCAAGAAGGGTCCGGAGCAACATGGCCAGGGACGACTTACATCTCCTTGGCCTTGGACAGGAAGAGTCCAAAGACGATGTTAAGAAAATGCTTGGGACAATATTACGGTTTCCAGTGGTCCCTGATTACCTCCATTTTGCGCCACCAAGCCAAAGGCAGCACCCAAGACGTAGGTGGAACACAAAGAGCGCCACCATTCAAAAAGTGTCCTGTTAATGTGCTGCCTGCAGACTTTGTCTAGGTGCGTCCATAGTCTACAGGCCTCAAGGTTCACGCGTTATGTGACTGACTGCAATTTGAGAACTCAGTCGCGAAATGTTGCTGGAAATTACCTTAAGAACCCTGCAAGCTAAGCAGAAAAGCATAAGCATATAATTAAAAAATTATCAAACTACAATACAATATAATATATCAAATATACATTACAGGTAGAGATTCTTGCAGGTGATTTTTTTTTGTCTCAGTTCAACAACAGAAGAACACATTATCCATAGCAGGAAACAGATTCTAGACAGGCAGCAGGGCAGCTTGGGAACTATAGTCATGGTGATGGTCCACAACAAAATGGCCGCCACGGCCACTGCTGCATGCTTACTCAGCAGCGGGACAAAAAACAATGTTTTTCTCTCACACCTGATAGTATTTCACTGTCATATCCAGGAAAAAGATGAAATTAATACAATAAAAATAAAAAAGAAACCTGAAAATCTAGCTCATTAGTCTACTACAAAATGGCCACCGATAAACTAAACCGGAAGTTAGGTCTTTGGAGATCTTTGAGGAGTTTGAGTTTTCGACAAAAAAAGCTTAATTTCTTTTAATAACATGGCATAACTATATAGTAACGGAGCCGGAGCCTGGATATCTGATATTGCTTAATATCAAAAAGAGAAAGTTATTTAAAAAAAGAAATTTGGATGAAAACAGATTGGTGTGTCCGCAGCGACGGGCTCTGACAAAATGGCCGCCGCGGCAGGAAGTGACAGTGAAGAGAAGGTGACCCCCGGAAGTGATTGTAGGTGGTGAGACTTGGAGGGGGAGAAAGGGCTGGTGGTGAGAAATTCACATTTATATCAGCACTTTTCATTTTATTTAACAATTATAATATATATTTGGATTCTTGGACTGCTGCCAGATATAAAATCACCCTGTAACCCAGTTCTGTGTTTATCATTATACATTTATCATGCATTTTAAATCAAATACAGCAAGTGTAAGCGCTTGACTCTGTCTTTGTATTCGCTTCCACTATTACTTCCCCAGCAGCACTCAGACCTGTGCTATAACCCATCCTGGCTCTACTGCTTTACTCAGTGATTCAGTCTAACACCGTACGTTTGATTACAGCTGTGGAGGAGTGAACAAAGTGCCTGCTGCTCCATCACTGTCCAATCACAGGTCAGGGGAGTTGGTGACCATGCCGTAATTCCTATCAGTTCTGAAGGATGGTGAGGTCACTGACCCGGCTCTGTTGTCTTGCAAGGGTGCAATGCCCGCGCTGGCAGTATTACTGATTTTCCTTCTCTTCCCCACTGTTCTGTACGGCATCTCAGAGATCAGGAAAAAGAAGGAAGCGTTGTACTAAAAATAGACCGGATTGTGGGTACTCGAAGCACTTTTCCTGTCAGTCCTGGAGCATTATAAATGGATAACCGATTAATCTGAAGATTCCTTTACAGATGACCTACCTGATGGAAAAGAATCAACTGACTGAGAGGATACTGAGCCTTACGCTAGAGATCATCTACCTGCTGACCGGAGAGGTGAGGAGGATTTAGGGAGGTCACATGACATCACTCTTATCTCTATTCATAATACACAGACCTGACCGGAGAGGTGAGGAGGATTCTGGGAGGTCACATGACATCACTCCTATCTCTATTCATAATACACAGACCTGACCGGAGAGGTGAGGAGGATTTAGGGAGGTCACATGACATCACTCTTATCTCTATTAATAAAATACAGACCTGACCGGAGAGCTGAGGAGGATTCTGGGAGGTCACATGACATCACTCTTATTTCTATAATTGTGTTGCTGAAAGAAATGATTAATATACGTTTTCCTGCTCAGGATTATGGACCGACGAAGAAGTCCAGCGATCACATGAAGCCCAGCAGCCGTCCCCGTGTCTCCAGAAAATGGAGCAGGAGCCAGATCAAGAAGCCACCACCTCCTTCCTCGACAGCTGATAGAAACCATGACAAGAAGATTCTAGAAGTCACCCAGAAGATGATTGAGCTGCTGACAGGAGAGGTGAGCGGTGCCGGGAATTCTGGGACATGATCCAGGACCAGACAAGGCATGTGTCTGGATGGTGACTGTATCATTGTGTGTGTCAGGTGCCTATAAGGTGTCAGGATGTCTCTGTCTATTTCTCCATGGAGGAGTGGGAGTATCTAGAAGGACACCGGGATCTCTACAAGGACGTCATGATGGAGAATGAGCCGCCCCTCACATCACCGGGTAAGAGGAGAGAGCAGTACGGAGGCTCCACCTAGATCCCCCATCATCTGATACACACATAGAAACAATGTATTCAGTCAGTGTGTGTGTTTCCTACAGATGGATCCAGTAAGAGGAACCCACCAGAGAGATGTCCCCGTCCTCTGTATTCCCGGGATTCCACACAGGAAGATCACGAGATCCCTCAGACCCGTCCTCTTTATTCCCGGGATTCCACACAGGAACATCAGGAGATCCCTCAGGCCCGTCCTCTGTATTCCCGGGATTCCACTCAGGAACATCGTGAGATCCCTCAGGCCCGTCCTCTGTATTCCCGGGATTCCACACAGGAACATCATGAGATCCCTCAGGATTATGAGGTAGGTGGATCTGGAGGTCTTATAAACCTTCCCTTCAAACTGACTTATCCTCCGTTTAGCATCCTTTAATACCTTTTACTCTGATACTATGTTCTTTTGTTTCACATCTAGGGTGAAGACCTCATTGTTATCAAAGTTGAGCCTGTAGATGATGAGGATATGTACACGAGGGGTGATGATCCGTGTAAGGACGAGGAACAATCTCCAGAGATCAGCACAGGTGAGTAATAAACACTAAATCCAGAAAAGAGTCCCAGATTCTCCTTGTTCAGTCACTACAACAATCTCTTCCTCTCCCCCCTCCTCTGTCAGTAGACAGTAATGGGGGGAGTTGCTGAAAGAAATGATTAATATACGTTTTCCTGCTCAGGATTATGGACCGACGAAGAAGTCCAGCGATCACATGAAGCCCAGCAGCCGTCCCCGTGTCTCCAGAAAATGGAGCAGGAGCCAGATCAAGAAGCCACCACCTCCTTCCTCGACAGCTGATAGAAACCATGACAAGAAGATTCTAGAAGTCACCCAGAAGATGATTGAGCTGCTGACAGGAGAGGTGAGCGGTGCCGGGAATTCTGGGACATGATCCAGGACCAGACAAGGCATGTGTCTGGATGGTGACTGTATCATTGTGTGTGTCAGGTGCCTATAAGGTGTCAGGATGTCTCTGTCTATTTCTCCATGGAGGAGTGGGAGTATCTAGAAGGACACCGGGATCTCTACAAGGACGTCATGATGGAGAATGAGCCGCCCCTCACATCACCGGGTAAGAGGAGAGAGCAGTACGGAGGCTCCACCTAGATCCCCCATCATCTGATACACACATAGAAACAATGTATTCAGTCAGTGTGTGTGTGTTTCCTACAGATGAATCCAGTAAGAGGAACCCACCAGAGAGATGTCCCCGTCCTCTGTATTCCCGGGATTCCACACAGAGACATCGTGAGATGCCTCAGGCCCGTCCTCTGTATTCCCGGGATTCCACTCAGGAACATCGTGAGATCCCTCAGGCCCGTCCTCTGTATTCCCGGGATTCCACACAGGAACATCATGAGATCCCTCAGGATTATGAGGTAGGTGGATCTGGAGGTCTTATAAACCTTCCCTTCAAACTGACTTATCCTCCGTTTAGCATCCTTTAATACCTTTTACTCTGATACTATGTTCTTTTGTTTCACATCTAGGGTGAAGACCTCATTGTTATCAAAGTTGAGCCTGTAGATGATGAGGATATGTACACGAGGGGTGATGATCCGTGTAAGGACGAGGAACAATCTCCAGAGATCAGCACAGGTGAGTAATAAACACTAAATCCAGAAAAGAGTCCCAGATTCTCCTTGTTCAGTCACTACAACAATCTCTTCCTCTCCCTCCTCTGTCAGTAGACAGTAATGTACCCAGTGGGGGAAAGTCAGGAGCCATCAACCTGGTTTTCGCCTTACATGATTTTCATGGTGGTGGCTTCTCTTTTTGCTGGGGTCTCTTATATGCTTCCCTAGAGAGCTGTGTATTCCGGACCATAATGACTAAGGGCAGGAGGTGTCAGAACCTGTGACCATACCTTGCAACAGGACTTACTCCATAGATGGCTGCAGGAATTCTTGCGGAGCACCTTAGATCCCCCAAAACTAAATGCCGTGGTGCCAGCCATTGCCCGCCCACTCTCGCTCCTCTGGGTTGGTTAATGACACCACTCATCATAGTCACGTATATTCATGGCTCAGTAAGCTCCAGGATTGACCATCTAGAGGTCCTTTCAGAAGATCCCGCCTTGGGCAGTGTAGCAAAACCTGAGCCCACAAAACATGAAGCTTATCTAAAATGTAGAAGAAAACATGCTAATAATGTGAACTTGGGAAGGTGGTCACCTCCAGTAGAGGTCTTCTGGTGATGAAGGCCATGATATATTTTGGAATCTCTATGTTCAAGGCCTACTCTAGCCCTGTGTGCCTCCACCCTAAATGTTCCCTCTGCTCTTAATCAGAAATTCCTCCTAATATCTCCTTCCCCAGCTGTCACCTCTATTAAAGTTATATGTAAGGCCTCTTGAGAATATTCACCCTCTCCTTGTCCTGGTGACCATTGTCATCAGTTCAGAAAGCAATGGGATATCCACAAAGTTTTGAAAGGGAGGTGATGGAAAATCTCCTAGTGGGGAAATTTGTTCCAGTGGCAATTATCTAAGATGCTTTGGCGGAGATTTCCCCCCACATCCTGTTGTGTCTCTATGACAGGAAGGGAAGGGAAATCTCCCCAATATTACCAGACAGGGCATTTAACCATTCTCCACTCTTTCCAAAACTAAAAAAAGTTTGGCTTTAGATAATCTTTAAGGATTTGGCTGATTTAAAGAAAGGTTTTTCAGTTCAATCAAGGTTAAGTATTCAGGATAAAGTTTGGTTATTAAAGAAGAGGCACAACGTAAGCATAGAACATAAGTTGAATCATTTGTTTGGAATCTGTCTCCCACGGCATTAACAGATTATTGCTTGACAGCTTTCAGATGGAATGTACCCTTAGATGGTCATGAAGAAAGACTCCATACTAGGCCGTGGAGGAAGTTCTGTTTTTGAAACTTGCTTTGAGGTTAATAAAGCTGTAGGCCATGTCAGTTGTTGGGTAGGACTTGGTTTGGCCATGTCACTTGTTGGGCAGGACTTGGTTTGGCCATGTCACTTGTTGGGCAGGACTTGGTTTGGCCATGTCAGTTGATGGGTAGGACTTGGTTTGGCCATGTCAGTTGATGGGTAGGACTTGGTTTGGCCATGTCAGTTGATGGATAGGACTTGGTTTGGCCATGTCAGTTGATGGGTAGGAGTTGTTTTGGCCCTTTCTTATTTATCTCTGCCTGGAGCTCACCAGGGACAGCACACAGCTTCCAAAGGAAAAGTTGGAGGACCTACTTGGCTTCCTTTCATCCTTGGTTCAGGCTTCCTGTTATGGTCTGCTTCCTTTTGAACTGTTTTGTGTTTTGAGTTGTAATGGCCTCCGAGGCTTAACCGACTTGTTATCTTCTACAGATGGCCAATACAGTGGTGGGAACATGGAGGAACATGTCATGGTCACACCGATGTGTAAAATAGAAGATGAGGATGTCAGCATAGGCTCAAATCTCCGTTCGGGAGTTCGTGGTGCTAGAGTGTCATCGACTCATTCTACCCATGGCGGGCGACCTCCCGATGACCCGCGTCCCTCTGAGTTGGGGGATGGCTTTTCCCAGCCTGAGGAACTTATTCCTGTAGAGATAACGGAGGATGGCACCAGGCTTTTCTCTTGCTCCGAATGCGGCAAGCGCTTTAAGCAGAAGGCGGATGTGGTCAAGCACCGGCGGATTCACACGGGCGAGCGTCCGTACCCATGCTCAGAGTGTGGCAAGTGCTTCATAGACGCCTCCCAGCTATCCAAGCACCGGAGGATTCATACAGGAGAGCGGCCTTACTCCTGCTCTGAGTGCGGCAAGTGCTTTTCCGAGAAGTCCAATGCCGTCAGGCACTGGCGGTCCCACACAGACGAGAAGCCCCACCCATGCCCGGAGTGCGGCAAGTGCTTCAAGAACAAGTCTCACCTGCTGACGCACTTGCGTTTCCACACAGACGAAAAACCCTATGCCTGCTCGCTGTGCGGAAGGAGTTTTAAGCAGAAGTCGGACGTTGTCAAGCACCAGAGGCTCCACTCGGGCGAGAGGCCGTACTCTTGTTCCGTGTGTGGGAAAAGCTTCTCTGGAAAGTCCAACCTTATCCGGCACGAGATCACCCACACAGGGCAGAAGCCATACTCTTGCTCTGACTGTGGGAGACAGTTTGCCCAGAAGTCCCATTTGGTCACCCACGAGAAGCTCCATGCGGGCTACAGGCCTTTCTCCTGCTCAACATGCGGGAAATGCTTTACCGATAAGGCTGTCCTAGTCCGCCATGAGAAGAGTCACTCTGAGGAGAAGCCCTATTCATGCTCGGAGTGTGGGAAGAGCTTCAAGCAGCGGTCGGACGTGGTGAAGCACGAGCGCATCCACTCTGGGGTGAAGCCGTATTCCTGTGCAGACTGTGGCAAAAGCTTCGTCCAGAAGGCCCACCTCCTCAGCCATCAAAAAGTCCACGTACGGGACAATGCGGAGTGACTCTCCGCCTTTACATGGCGGCATAGCGTAAGAAGACTAGGCAAGAGTTTTCAGAGCATCGTGCTCTCCAGATTCTATGCCACGGCCTTGCCTCCTGCCAAATGTTTGGACTGCAGCTCACCTTGAGCCCCTTCTAAGTACTTCTCCCCTCCCACAAATAATACAGAGCTCAACCTCCCAGTGCAGGACTGATTTCGACTTTCAGCTGCCAAGCTCTGATGTTTTCAGTTACTTAGTCTGGTTGAATTTTGCAATGATCTCATGAATTTTTACTAAACCAGAGCCATTGTTTTTTCACTTATTTCCTTTTTATTCCTGTAAAGTGAACCCTATTGGTTCAAAGGTAAAGATCCTGTCTACAGGCAGGCAATACAAGATGTCTGCCGTTAACCTTCTAAGCTAAAACGTTCTCCTCTGTGTGCCTCTTTGAAGCTAGTTTCACGTTGCTACAAGAGATCTGATTAGCTAAACCCTGAAAACTATCACTCTCATTGAATGAAGAAGGACATTGGCAACTGGTGGGTCTTGGTTCCTATGCCAGGCCCCCAACATCAAAGTGAAGCTAGTTTCAGAGAAGCACACAGTGTGGATTTCTGGCCAACAAAGGTAATATAGTCTTGGGGTGTCTCAGATACCTCTCACTAGGAAACTTGTTTAATCTGACATTAGTAGATGAAGGTAAGGCCAGGCACACCGCAACTTTGTCCAGGTTGCGCTTCAGGAGCCGTTGAATCTGAATCAATTCTCGACAGAGCTGTAAGCTGGAGCTCGGACATGCCCACTCTCAATCCCCGACTCTCAGTAGGTGGCTGAGGTGCCTAATTGCACCATGGGTTGTGTGGTGGGGGGGTCAGTGTGCCTATGTTCTAGTGGTGGTGGTTACTTGTTCCATGGCACACTTGTATCACGGCTTGGAACCCCAACCATTGCTGGCAACACCAATCCCCTACCCCTCCACTTCTACTTACACATGGAATTGAAAGCATTGACAAAGGCAGAAACCCCCTTTAAGCCCTCAAATGGCTAGAGGGGACATGGTATAGGCGCACAGAGGCATAACTAAACCATTAGGCCAGCAGCCTAACTCTGGCTAAATTCCTTCAATTTGGGATGTAGTAAGATAAGTCTTGAAGCGTTGTCAGGTTTGTATTGCTACCAATAAAAAATGAATCAGAAGCGCCAAACGTTGACCAACAAATGAAGGATAGTTGCGGGTGAGGATTACTAGGGGTGCTGCCCCACTTCAGCCTGGGAAGCTGCAATACTGTGGGAGAGAACAAAAGAGAAGGGCGCCCACCCTAGTGTAGATTCTTTTTAATATTGTATATTGAGGTAACAATAAAAACATACTCACAAAAGTGAATCAAGACAGAAGTGTATAAGGTAAGCCAGATTGACATCTGCAACAAGCTGCACAGAAGATTGTGTGACAGCACAGGACTCCTTGAATGACGCGTTTCCGGGGCCACGCCCCCAGATCTGACGAAGGGGGCGTGGCCCCGGAAACGCGTCATCGTAAGGAGTCCTCTGCTGTCACACAATCTTCTGTGCAGCTTGTTGCAGATGTCAATCTGGCTTACCTTATACACTTCTGTCTTGATTCACTTTTGTGAGTATGTTTTTATTGTTACCTCAATATACAATATTAAAAAGAATCTACACTAGGGTGGGCGCCCTTCTCTTTTGTTCTCTCCCACAGGTTTGTATTGCTGTCTACGTTGGAAAGGTTTGCACTTCCTATCCCAGAGTTGTACCCTATGTGTCAGGGTGTCTTTGGTTGTCACCAGGACAGGAAGTGAATGAAGGTATCTTCTTCAAACTTGTACCATGCGTAGACAACCAGCCTCCGTGCAGGGACCACCTCTCTGGTGAAGAGATATTGCCATCAAAAAGGCCAGTGGGATGAGGAGCTTAAAGGGTCAGTCCACTGAAAACTGATATTCCGTGCAACGGTAGTCTGTGGGCCTCAGAGTCGCTCACTTGTTTCCTAAATCAAATCCCCAACTTAAGAACTTGAGCGTTTACAAGTTACTTCTTCTGCATCTAGATATGAGTTCTGGGTGGAGTAGCCCATAAACCAGGTGGGGAGAAGTTCTCTCGGAGAAGCTTTCTTTATCATGTCAATAAAACATTTCAACCCCTCCGTGTCCAGTCGTCTTCTTCCCACTGTGTTGGCTCCATTTAAATCTTCAGCAGTTGTACGGTTGGACTGTGTGTGGAGTTTTCTTCTTGCACCCGGCACCCTTCCTACCCTGCTCTCTAGTTCATAGCTGTATTACCAGCCTTCCATGTTCCTGCTCCTGTATATCTGAGGCAGATGAAGCTTCCCTGCAGCACTGGGGCTAGCGCTGGTCCCCTATTAAAGCTGAAGGGTATAGTGCCCTCCCCCCGATCAATTAACATTTTTCAAGCAAATCATTTCATTTTCAAGAAATACGAACTTTGGGATCCAGGGACCTCATCATTGTGTCTGGCTGCTGGTCTTTGCTCTGTACCAAAATACAGTTTGGTAGGAGGCTCCTGTAAACATCACAGTACTCTGCCGGCAGGAGCATTATATGAAAGAACGCCTCCTCCAGGACTTCAGACCAGAAATGAAGGGAGGGCTATCTTCAGATGCCAGCTGCCCTTACCTATTCTCTCATTCCACTCGGTGCCCGCAGATGCTCTTCAACCACCAAACCTCAGACCACCAAGGACAGTTCCCAAGACACAACTTCCAATATTATTACGCAGGTCTGAGGTTTGTAAATTTAGGTTTTTAGATTAGTTGTTGGTGTTTCAGAAGCCGAGACAAATTAAAGAACAATGGGGCCCCTAGGCAATGTAGCAGCTTTGCCCCCCTCATCTCTTCCATTGACATTGATAAGGAAGGAGATGAAGAGGAAGTAATTTAGCCTAGAGTCATATTGCAATTCAAGAATATGAATCTGCACAGAAAATGCAACATACATCTGGCCAAGGCGGAGCCTGAAGAGCTTCCTGTGATGATGTGATTTAGGCTAGAGTCATATGGCAATTCAATTCACATATATCTGGCCAAGACTGAGCCCGAGGAGGAAGAGATGATGTGATTTAGACTAGAGTCATATGGCAATTCATTAATACAACTCTACACAGAAAATACAAGCTATATCTGGCCAAGGCGGAGCCTGAAGAGCTTCCTGTGATGATGTGATTGAGGCTAGAGTCATATGGCAATTCAATTCACATATATCTGGCCAAGGTGGAGCCTGAGGAGGAAGAGGTGAAGTCATTTAGGCTGGAGTCATATGGCAATTCATGAATACAACTCTACACAGAAAATGCAAAATATATCTGGCCAAGGCGGAGCCTGAAGAGCTTCCTGTGATGATGTGATTTAGGCTAGAGTCATATGGCAATTCAATTCAGATATATCTGGCCAAGGCGAAGCCTGAGGAGGAAGAGGTGAAGTCATATGGCAATTCATGAATACAACTCTACACAGAAAATGCAAAATATATCTGGCCAAGGCGGAGCCTGAAGAGCTTACGTGTGATGATGTGATTGAGGGTAGAGTCATATGGCAATTCAATTCACATATATCTGGCCAAGGCGGAGCCTGAGGAGGAAGAGGTGAAGTCATTTAGGTTGGAGTCATATGGCAATTCATGAATACAACTCTACACAGAAAATGCAAGATATATCTGGCCAAGGCGGAGCCTGAAGAGCTTACGTGTGATGATGTGATTGAGGGTAGAGTCATATGGCAATTCAATTCACATATATCTGGCCCAGGCGGAGCCTGAGGAGGAAGAGGTGAAGTCATTTAGGTTGGAGTCATATGGCAATTCATGAATACAACTCTACACAGAAAATACAAGCTATATCTGGCCAAGGCGGAGCCTGAGGAGGAAGAGGGGAAGTCATTTAGGTTGGAGTCATATGGCAATTCATGAATACAACTCTACACAGAAAATACAAGCTATATCTGGCCAAGGCGGAGCCTGAGGAGGAAGAGGGGAAGTCATTTAGGTTGGAGTCATATGGCAATTCAATTCACATATATCTGGCCAAGGCGGAGCCTGAAGAGGAAGAGGTGAAGTAATTTGGACTGGAGTCATATGGCAATTCATGAATACAACTCTACACAGAAAATGCAAGCTATATCTGGCCAAGGCGGAGCCTGAAGAGCTTCCTGTGATGATGTGATTGAGGCTAGTCATATGGCAATTCAATTCACATATATCTGGCCAAGGCGGAGCCTGAGGAGGAAGAGGTGAAGTCATTTAGGTTGGAGTCATATGGCAATTCATGAATACAACTCTACACAGAAAATGCAAGATATATCTGGCCAAGGCGGAGCCTGAAGAGCTTCCTGTGATGATGTGATTGAGGCTAGAGTGATATGGCAATTCAATTCACATATATCTGGCCAAAGCAGAGCCTGAAGAGGAAGAGGTGAAGTCATTTAGGCTGGAGTCGTATGGCAATTCATGAATACAACTCTTCACAGAAAATGCAAGCTATATCTGGCCAAGGCGGAGCCTGAAGAGCTTGCTGTGATGATGTGATTGAGGCTAGAGTCATATGGCAATTCACATATATCTGGTCAAGGCGGAGCCTGAGGAGGAACAGGTGAAGTCGTTTAGGCTGGAGTCATATGGCAATTCATGAATACAACTCTGCACAGGGATAGTGGAAGTCCCTCATAATGGGCACAACAGGTGTACAGACCAAGGAACTCAGCACAGAGATGGCATTAAGTAATGAACACCACACCACACTAATGCATTATATAAAACATTGTTTTATTGTTTATAGAAACACAGCTAATATTATTCCCAGCTGAGTCTTGTTTGATGCACCATGTTCACCTCTCGAAGTTCTCCATATTCTACAATTTTTCAACATGATTTTTGAAACTGTCCAACAACCGCTGGCTTAGGAACAACCTTGTTTCGTGAGAGTAAGACCCCCCTTCGCATCACTTAATTCTAACACCCCTCAGGTGTCCCCTGTACTTGGTTGTGTGACATCTCACAGTCAATAAATGTTAAATGTACAAAAAGCTGAACACAAAAACACTCAGAATTATACAACAGAGAGCCTGGAGGGCAATGTGTCCAGTTTTCTTCCATGGTATTCGATGGAAAAGGCATCTTGTAATCAATGACTCACTTCCAGAAATATTAGAATATTCAAAGTGATTGCACCAAAAATTCTATAGTGGCCATTAATATTGCGTTGGCTCTTCGAACCACCGTATGTCACTGATCGTTCTTTATCACCAGAACACACCATAGGAAAGCACCAAAAACCTATTTTATGGATTTAATGGGTTCAAAAACCAACCGATGTTTGCTTAGGATCTCCAGGACTTCATTGAGTACGATGTTGCCTTTCCCAAGATGGTAGGTCTACAGTAGTTTGGCTCATGTGACCCACCCCAGCTGAGTTAGAATAGGTGATAAAGATGTGTGAAGTATATTACGGGAGGAGAAGTCGAAATCAAGATTGGAGGGGCCAGTAGGATATCAGGATAAGTAATGGTGGATGTAGTGTTGTGTCTTCCTTTCTTCTATTGCTCCAAATCCCTGCAGAAGAGACATGTCCCTTGAGTAGCTTTCTAGTGTCCAATCAAAGACGTAGGCTGAGGCAGGCTTTCATTTCAGTCTTCTATAGGTTGTTGAAGGCATTATGAGGAGCCATACAGGGGTCATAGTAAGCCAAATAGGGTACAACTGTAATTGTTCAAATTCCTGCTACCCAAGCCAACCACTTCCCCGTTGTTTCTCCATCATTGATCTCTCAGGTATGGGCTGGTCCATGTAAAAAGAACTAACATAGATAAGGAACGTTATAGGGGCATGCAAGGGGCTGCCATTGCTGACTTCTAGGCCTCTCCTTCTTATCCTCTCACTACTTGCTATGCCCCCGGCCTGCAGTAAGTTTTTGAATATCAGGTGGCTTGATCTTGGTCAGTTAACATGCTTGTTGCTGGTCAATGAAGCAGTTGTTCAAAAATAGGGATGCCAGCATCCAGGAACTCATAGTTGAAAGGAAATATGATGGATGGTCCAAGGCTCATCCAGGAACAAAGCCCAAGAATCTTTGGCCAAAGACTATGATTTAGCCCAGTGACCAATAGAGATGGAGTAGAACGTTGCCTACAGGCAGAGACAAAAGCAATGCCGTCTAAAGCCGCTGTATCCCCCTCCCGTTTCTTTGTAAACCTAGTGGTTTGACGGGTCAAGGCCAGGCCCATACAGCTGACCGTCTGCTTTAGTCTGCTCTTCATGAGTGCTTTGGTGTTTCAGAAGGTTGGACTTGTTCTTGAAGCACTTGCCGCACTCAGAACACGAATAAGGTTTCTCCCCGGAGTGGGCTTTCAGGTGGGTCACCAAGATCCCTCTCTGGCGAAAACACTTGCCGCACTCTGGACAGGCATATGGCTTCTCCCCTGTGTGGATTCGCTGATGTTTTACCAGCTCCGTCTTGCGCGAGAAGGACCTCCCGCACTCTGTACACAAGTAGGGTCTGGCACCCGTGTGGACCTTCAAGTGCTCTTGGAGGATGGACTGGTGAGCAAAATATTTTCCGCACTCGTTGCATGGGAAAGGCCTTTCACCCGTGTGAGTCCTGCGGTGCTTAACCAGCTGGGAGTTGCGCGGGAAGCACTTGCCACAGTCTGGGCACAGAAACGGCTTATTGCCCGTGTGGACCTTCTGGTGCTCCAGGAGGAGGGAGTTATAAGCGAAGCTCTTCCCACAATCTGCACAGGAATACGGCTTCTCGCCGGAATGGATGCGGCGGTGTTTGACCAGGGAGGTCTTTAGCGGGAAGCTCTTGCCACAATCATCACAGGTAAAAGGCTTTTCGCCCGTGTGAACTCTCTGGTGGTTTTCCAGTTGCGCCTTGCGCTTGAATGCCTTGCCACACGCCAAGCAGGCGTGAGGCATCTTGCCGGCGTGTTTCCTGCGGTGCTTGACGAGAAAGGACTCCTGGGTGAAGCATTTGCCACATTCAGTGCAAGGAAACATGTTGTCGAACCCAGGAAGTGCAACAGGGTGGGGCAAGCTCCAGCTGTGCGTAGATTGACCAGCCAGTGGATCGATGCTGTGAAGTCCAGGATGGAGATATCTGTTAATAGGGTATGGATGGAGATGGGCGGTAAGAGGGTCTGGACAGAGATCGGGTTGAAGATGTGGGGTGATGGAGTCTGGACACATATCTCTCCTTGTGGGATCTGGACGGAGATTTAGGGTAAATGGATTTGAATGGGTATGGGGAGTAATAGGGTTGGGACATAAGTTTCTGGTAGTGAAATCTGGATGGAGATGTGGTGTAGTGGGGTATGGACAATGACTTCTGGTGATGGGGTCTGGATGGAGATGTCGTGCAGTAAGGTCTGAGCAAAGACTCCTGGCAATTGGATCTGGATGGAGCAGTGCTGTAGTTGGGTCTGAAGATAGACATCTGGTAGTGGGATCTGGATGGAGTTGTGGTGTAGAAGGATCTGAGAATAGACTTTTGATAGTAGGATCTGAGTGGAGATGTGGTTTAGTGGGGTCTGAGCATTGACTTGTGGCTGTGGGATCTGGATAGCGTTGTGGTGTAGTGGGGTCTGAGCATTGACTTGTGGCTGTGGGATCTGGATAGTGTTGTGGTGTAGTGGGGTCTGAGCATAGGTTTCCGGCAGTGGGATCTGGATGGAAATTTGAGGCAGCCATGTTTAAAACCGGGGAACATCCCATTAGATTATCTTCTGTTTTGTACTCCACCAGCAGAGGTCTGAACGAGGTGTTTCTGCAGCTCCGTCCATCTGTTAACGATCAAAGAAACAAAGACCGTCACTTTTTATTTCACCTCGTGACATTTACGTATTACTACCATTAAAAATATTGCATCCTTCGATCATTTTGTGCTTCGGTTGTCATCTCGTGTTCCAAAAGGGACAAGTCTAATCTAATCCAACTACGTACTCACCTGTACTGATCTCTGGAGGGATTTCCTCCTCCTTACATGGAAGATTGGCTCTTTTACAAGTGGTGTTCTCCAAATAGGCTCCATGAATGTTGATGAGGTCCTCGCCCTATATAAAATATGAAGCCAACTTTCATTAAATTGAGATACATTTGGTTTACAAATCTTAGCAATAGCCTCTACCTGATATCCTTGAGGGATCTCATGATGTTCCCGGGAATACAGAGGACGGGTCTGAGGGATCTCATGATGTTCCTGTGTGGAGTGCCGGGAATACAGAGGACGGGCCTGAGGGATCTCATGATGTTCCTGTGTGGAATACAGAAGAAGGGCCTGAGGGATCTTATGATGTACCTCCATGGAATACAGAGGACGGGGACATCTCTCTGGTGGGTTCCTCTTACTGGATCCATCTGTAGGAAACACACACACTGACTGAACACATTGTTTCTATGTGTGTATCAGATGATGGTGGATCTAGGTGGACCCTCCGTACTGCTCTCTCCTCTTACCCGGTGATGTGAGGGGCGGCTCATACTCCATCATGACGTCCTTGTAGAGATCCCGGTGTCCTTCTAGATACTCCCACTCCTCCATGGAGAAATAGACAGAGACATCCTGACACCTTATAGGAACCTGACACACACAATGATACAGTCACCATTCAGACACATCCCTTGTCTGTTCCTGGATCATGTCCCAGAATTCCCGGCACCGCTCACCTCTCCCGTCAGCAGCTCGATGATCTTGTTGATGACCTCCAGAATCTTCATGCTGTTGTTTCTCTCAGGTGTCAAGGAGGGAGGTGGAGGGTCAGGGATGGGGTTCTGGATCCAGCTATGAGTGCTGGTTGTCACATGATCACCGGACATCTTCAGAGGCCCATAATCCTAAAATTTGAATTTCAGTTTATAGCTTAATATCAACTAATAAGAGTGATGTCATGTGACCTCCCAGAATCCTCCTCACCTCTCCGGTCAGCAGGTAGATGATCTCCAAGGTGAACCGCAGTATCCGGTCAGTCATCTTCCTGCCGGTGTCCATTGCCTATTTAAAGGGAACCTTGCAGGGCTGAACACTGCCGAGGCCGAGCCGCCTTTTTGTAGACCATCTAATAGAAAAAAAAGTAATACATCTGAATGTTGCGCGGAGTGATTCAATGGCGATAAATTGCACGGTTTCCTTTTTTAAACCCTTCTGTGAGGAGATTTGTCGAGACGCTATGTCAGGTCGGCTGACTGCCCCCCTACTTGCAGGAAGGCCGACCGCCACCCTGTTACTTAACTAAAGGACTTTAATGCAATTCTAGTAATGTCCCTCACTTTTAAGAACTGCTCGGTTTAACAATCAGGCTCTCCCTATGGTCCACTGGTTATATTTCATCAGCAGAGATGCTGACTGCACTGTCTTTCCCTATGAACCCCCAAATAAAAGGTTTGGGGCCTGCATTAATGTGCTACATTCCACATAACCCTGAAATGTAACACCAGGCTTAGCAGAGAATTTGGAACATCTGGATATTTGGGGCTTGCAGTCAAATCTTTTCCATATGAATTGAGCTCAACCACAAGTATAATGGCGCCCCCTATGGCCCTACCTAGTACTTCTACCTCTAGTGTTCAGCGCTTGGCGCTCTCTGAGGCAGCTGTGAGATCCATTTGCCCCCGTTACACACTCAGCCAAAGCAGGAAATCAAAGCTGAGCAACGCACAGTTGAAATCTCGGCTACACCTCCAAGGTTTTCTACAAATCCCTTTGGGCTACAACAAAATGGCCGCCGCAGCTGCGACACCTTTGTTTACAAATGGCCGCATATGTTTTCTCTAGGTAGGTACGTGGGCAGCAGTCCCTAGCCACGTCACGACTCCCATATATGGTAATTTCATTCGCAAGTGCTTTTGGGAGCGCTAAGAGGTGGCGAAGGGGCGTGGCTGTACAACCTATAAGGTGTGTTCACCAGTGGAACGCACAATGCCCTTTGAAACGCACGAACCGAAAGCA